AGCCTCTATATCCTTCACTGAACCTCCATTCTTCGCATTGAGCCCTCATCCTCCTGCTGAGCCCCATCCCCCTTTTGAGCCCCCATCCCTCTGACTGAGCCTCTGTCCTCTATTCTCAAGATTTACCACAGGCCTCAGGACCCAGGAGAGGAACCACTTTATGAAATCTGGGAGTTGGAGAATAGAGATTTTAGATAAATTGATAGGATCTATGATGTCTCCGCGTCTGGCCAACAGAGAAGAGGTCATTGGGTTTCTCCAAAGCCAGTCCTCACTCTGTCCATCCTCCCACTTCCAGCCCAGTAACTGCTCCAGGACCTCCTAGCTCCCTTAACAGTCTGGAAGGGAATCAGAGGAAGCAGAAGGATTGGCCCCAGGCTAGACCCCAGGAAGGTCTTCCCACTCATGAGGATTATCAGAGGTACAGGAAGATGAGCCCTGAGGTGGGGGCCATGGCATCTATCTGCACATTTGGGGGAGAGGGTGGGGCCCAGCTACTTGACCAAGGCCCACAGTGGGTCCATCTGGTTTCCTGGGCACGCCCTTCCTGAGCCCTCCCTTCCAGTCTCTAGCTTTGATTTTGCCTTCTGGCTCAGTGCCTAGAGTCTGGGCTTCCCTGGAGCACTGATTCTCCCCTCAACGTGTCCTCACCATCCTTGAAATTCAACTTACAGTTCTTCCACAAGCGTTTCACCCCTATCAGTGTAGAGCCCTGCCGAATACAACTTCATCATCACATACTCAACTCAAGAGACAGAGAAGGGAATGATTTAGTTGGTAAGAGAGAAGAAGGACGATTTGGACCCAGAGGCCAGAAGGCCACCTTCCTTGGAAGAACCCCCTTCCCCCAGGGCCTCAGTCTTGCCTTCCAATGCCCAAGCTCTTCAACCTGGCCTTCAAGGACCTCTTCCATCTATGCCTCACCTTCCTGTCTAGTTTCTTCTGCCCTGATCCACACTCCAGATATAACACTCGGGCCAAACTGGACAGCCCAGCATCCCTTCAATAACTGCTACCTCTCTCTGTCCACCTCCATAACCCTGCCAGACATTCCCGGTTTGGTTGCAACCTCACCTTCTCTGATCATGCAATCTCCTCCCAAGCCACCCTGTTCCCACTTGGTCTCTATACTTGGATTGCCCACTGTCCTGCCCCCTCCAGTTATCTCCTATGTGTGCGTGAGGGTGGGGAGTATGGAGAGTCTAATATGTCCCAACCCTGAGAACTCCCTGAGGGTAGGAGCCAGATTGCTTCTCCCTCTTTGTCCTCCCATAGCCCGCCTCATGGACAGGGCATCGGCAAACTTGGAGCAGATGGACAGCACTGATATGGAGGCCTGGGAGGGCTGGGGGCCAGGCCCAGCCCATGGCTTTGGAGGGAGCCAGAAACAGGAGCTGCCGAGCCGCCTGCCCCATGAGCCCTCCAGGCTAGACCAGACTTTCTGGGCATCTGAGTCACTGGAGAGATGATAGGGTCATCCCTTCCTGCCAGAGACATCCAACCCACTTTGGGAATCGGCCCAACAGGCTAGGACTGGATGAACAGTAACAGTCCTATCCATTGGTACTTCTGAAGGCTTTCAGGGTTCTAAAGTGCTTCCTTGTTTGAGTCTCACAATAGCCCAGGAGCAGAGGACAAGTCTTATTATACCCATTTCACAGATGAGAAAACTGAGGTTCACAGAAATGTAGTGATTTGCCCACAGCGAGTCTCTCATGACTTAGTTTGCTTCCCATTGTACCATACTACCTCTCTCACCTAAACTGTGCAAGTTACCTGGTGTCCAGCAGCCTGGAGCTTCTTTGAGACCTCTCGGATGGCCCGAACCATGCTGGGGGATGGTTGTGTATAACCATCTGTCTCCACATAGCCGATTCGGAGGGGCTGGGTGCTGGAGTATATCTGAGGGAAGGAGGGAAGCTAGGGGCTCCCCACATTCTCCCCGAGTCCTCTCCCAACTAAATGCTCCCCATATTTCCTCTTCAAATTCCCCCAAGTCTCTCCTCCACAGTCTCTACTATCTGTCTCCTTCGGGTTTTTCCCAGGAACTCCCCCACAGCCCCATTGATCCTACAGGCCCTCTTCAGGGTGATAGACAGATAGGTATTGATAGGCTGAGTAATTAATGACAGATGACAGAGTAATCGATGGTGATGGATAAGGAAGGACAGATGAGGAGAGACAGCAAATCTGATGACAGGTGATGGATTGATCTGGGCGGTTAGAGATGAGGGCAGGCATTGATCCGCTGGGGACAGAGGACAAAAGATGGTCATAGAACATGGAACAGAAACTGTTTGAGTTGGAAGTGGCCTCAGACCACCCCCATTTAACAGACCAGAGGATGAAGTGGAGGCCTAGAGAGGGAAAAGAACACAATGTGATGTATATTATTTCTATGAGGCAGATCCCATGGAGGCTGTCAATCCAAGGCACTGCCCCAGATCCCCCTTGGCAGGGCCAAGGCCAAGAGTAGGAACAGCAAGGCTCTTATGGGCCTGGGCAACCAGAGTCAGAGAATACAGTCTTTCCATACAACTAGCATCCTGTCTATAGCACCTTTTCAGGCCAGTGGCTTCTCCCAGAATAATCTTTTGTACACAAAGGTCTGGCCACCCCCCTCCTTTGCTTAGAAATCTTTACTATCTCCCTAATGCTTATTGAGTAAAGTTCAGTTCCCTGTAGTTGGCATTCAAGGCCTTCCATGAGCTGACCTTTCCACCCTTGTCGCAGCTCACCGCCCTCCATATAGTTTATGCTTCAGCCAAGCTGCACAACTCTGTCCTTCAAATAGATCAGACTTTTCCACCTCTTAGTCTTTGCTCAGGTTGTTTCCAATGCCTATAATGCCATTCCTACACTCTTTTGGCTCTTGAATTCTTCAGTAGTCTATAAGGCCTAACTTGAATGGCACCTCTTCCAGCAAGTCTTCCAGATCTTCCTCAAACCTTACCCAGAACATTGCCTCTTCTCAGTGTAAGGTGGACTTGTCCTAATCACCTCCTAGCCCAAGAGTTCCTTGAGGGCAGGTACTCATCTTATCTAAACTTGGCATCTCCCCCCAGCCTAGCTCAAGGCTCTATATGTAGTATTTCTTCAAGAGAAGGCTGGATAACTCCCAGTTGAAGATGGTCTAGGTCAGACCAGATGCCTCTGAGGTCTCCACCCATTCTGGGAGGGTGAATTTGGGAGATGTTAGTGAAGGAAG